AAATCTGTTTTTTCCCTATTCTTTAGAATCGTTTGTGCCCGTTTGTACCGCTTCTCGTTTCGTTTATGCCTCAATAGTTTAAATTTTATAATTCAACCGTATAAACAATTGCTTGTAAAATTTAAACTATTGAGGTACAAACGAAACGAAAAGCGGTACAAACGGGTACAAACGATTCTAAAGAATAGGGAAAAAACAGATATCAAAAATCTCAATGTCGCGTCCTGACCACTGTTTTTTATTTTTTTAAATTATTAATTGCCGAAGATACAAACGAAACTATTGGTGGTACAATCAAGTACAAACGAAATACTATCATTTTCTATAGATTTTGCTTACTCGGTTATTGAAAATGAATATCATTTTTGCGCATTTTACACATTACGAACCAAGAAATTACAGTAAAAAAAACTGTAAAGAAATTTAAAATCCAGTATCCAAATGAATTGCGGATGATAACGTCGGCGTCATTGCGGACACCGTTCTCTTTAGACAGCCTTAACTTCGTTAATCTTTCGAATTCAACAAAATTCCACGGCGAATATGTATTCAAAAATCTTTACTTTGAAAAAATGTAAACAAAAAGTCGATATTTTGAAAGTTCTAAACAATAACACACCCTTGAACAATTATATTTGTCCGAGTAGATTCTTCCAACTCGAACTGTTCGGTTAAACGACGTTGCACCGTATTTCTATCGATTTCTAAGCCCGATAGGGCCGAAATAACTGTACGCATAATGCCAAAGTCTCGGTGCTCGGAGTCGAGGAGTGAGCGCGATCAGATTTGCCGCGCCTCTGCCATAACTCAACCGGTGGTAAGTGGGTAGTCGTCACACGAGGAAATAAAAAAAAAGGAGCTTCTTCCTATCTTTTTATCTAATTTCCTGGCGACACCGCGCGCAGCTGTTCTTTATCTGCTTTTTGCTTGTCTAAGCAGATAAAATCCTTGGAGACGATCTAATATATTGCTGGATAGATATTTTTAAGGCGCGTCCTATGTTGAAAGAGTGAGGGAAGGGAGTGAAATGGTGCTATCGTGGTTTCTCGATAGCTAATAGGGGTATTACATAATTTTCATGTTCATACTAGGTGTAGACATCAATCATGTACCTCTGGATTAAAAATTATTTATAACTAGAGGTTTAAACACTTTTAACGGATGATTTAGTTGTCGTGTTAGTACATTAAAGTATGTACCTTCTAAATCGTCGTTTTGATTTAGTTGTCGTGTTGGTACATTAAAGTATGTACCTTCTAAATCGTCGTTTTGATTTAGTTGTCGTGTTGGTACATTAAAGTATGTACCTTCTAAATCGTCGTTTTGATTTTTATTATGATGTATCTATATACATATAGCAATTTCAGCGTTTAGAACTTATAGACAGTAGTTTTAGCACTTACAATCTGTACACATAGCAATCTTAGCATTTATAATTCATATACAACGCGATCTTAGAAAATGCACACACTATGCAGTAATCCACAACAATATTGAAAGTAGAGTTTGTATTATACATTTTGTACTATTCTTTGTTATTCTGAATTATTCTGCATTATTATGGATTGCACTGTATTTTTACCTATTATTCTGTATATTCATGTATTATCATGTATTATTCTGCTATATTCAGCATTATTCTAATCGCTAATAAAATTGGCACATCTCCTGGCTGGCGAATGTATCGATTAAATTAATTTTCTATTACAATAATTATCCACAATTATTGCAATGGAAACATTGTTAATAATTGTGGATAACTATTTTAATAGAAAATTAATTTTATGGAGAATTATACTAATAGGAAATTGAAGAAATGAGAAATTCAAGAAATAAGGAATTGACGAAGTGATGAAACGAAGAAGTGGGATTTAAGAAATGAAGAAATGAAAAATTATAGAAATGGATAATTAAGGAAATAGGAAATTGAAGAAATGAGAAATTCAAGAAATGAGGGATTGATGAATTGAAGAGATGAAGAAATGGGGAATTGAAGAAGTGAGGAATTGATGAAGTGAAGAAATGAAGAAGTGGGGAATTAAAGAAATGAAGAAATGGGGAATTATAGAAATGGAAAATTAAAGAAATAAGAAATTGAAGAAATGAGAAATTGAAGAAATGAGGAATTGATGAAATGAAAAAGTGGGGAATTAAAGAGATGAAGAAATTTGTTATAATTTGTAATAATATTTTAAACGATATCCTTTAAAAAGTGCCTAAATAATTATGTAATAAAATAACACGATATTCCAACGAAATAATATCATACATACAATTCGCATACTGTCTACACGGAAATACTGTCTGAGTAGGTTTGATGTAGTTTTTAGTGGAGCGGCAATAGTGAATACTGTTAATGTACATACTGTCTACACGGAAATACTGTCTGAGTAGGTTTGAGGTAGTTTTTGGTGGGGTAGGCATTATTGAATACCGCTAATATCATATTAGTATGCAACTAGAAAATCATTTTTGATTGCCTTCATTTTTACAAAAATGGCGGCTTGGTAGACGATTTAGTGGAGCGTTGCAAAAACAAATGGCTTTGTGCTGAGTACGATAACTCATACCAGGTTCAAGCTAGAACAGCAAAAGAAAGTGAATTACGTTCCTTAGTCCAAAAGCTAGTAAAATACGCAATCATTTTTAAAAATGTACATTTTCAATCAAATCATTTCAAAGTAAAACACACAAAAGCTTAAAACTGCGGTATTTAAAATCGCATACAAAATACAAACATCAA